ATGAAACCACTTTGCGCGTACTAATAAATCCCTGTTATTATAGGAATTCTATTAAATCTACGTAAAAAAAAACCAATATTTAGTATATATTTGTAAAAAAATAGGCCAAACTAAGATTGATGGTGGCATTCCTTATTTTTAATTTTCGTGCTGTCAATACAATTCGTTTTCCAAACGATATCATTAAATTAATATGATACGAGTTTTATTTAAATGACTAGCGCTAGTAAATAATAAAATGCATAAAATAATTCATAATAAATCAATATAAAATACCCATCCCCTATTTTATGGATTAAGAATAATTATATGAGTAATTAAAATTATATCGAGAATAATTATGTATATATCAAGAATATAAATATTAAGTGGAAAAGGAAAACCGGTTTGAACTAAAAGAAAGTAATGATCTTCTTTTTGACTTCTTATCAGCATCAGTAACTGTACCGTATGGATTTGTACCGAACATTGAACTTTGTCTCTAAATTAGTGTAAGATCATATTAGATTAATATTATAAAGAGGCCATTTTATATATAGACAAAGAATTAAATTTTACCTTCTTGACAAATTCTTTTTCAGCAAGAATACAATTTGCAACATAAAACCCTATGCTCATTGTTGTTATCTTTGAAAATTAAATAAGAATGTTGAATTAGTTTTGTGAAATTAGTATTTATTTGCGTAAATAAACAAAAATAATGACATGTAAAATTACCATTGGACCGGCACCAGTCGAGGTAGGAAATACACTAGAGTCTGCGACGTGAAGACTTTTTACATCCCATGATTCTCCGAAAGGATTGACTACGGATTTAGTCTGATCACTTCCCATTCGACTAAAAACAAACTTTGTTTAAAAAAAAAAATTTCACATAATAAAAATAATAAATATATTGTCCATACCAAGTTCCCATTTGAGATATACTTCCAAGGCAAGCATGTCCATTAGAAACCCCAACTTTCTTAACTTTCTCAAGGTATTGTAAAAACTTAGGATCATTCAATGGGTTTTC